ACTCAACAAAAAAGTACAGGGACTTTTGTATAGTCATCTACAATAAAGATCTAACAAGTAAAATCTGAGGTTTTATACCTCCGGGCTTTTATTGTATATTTTTATACAGGGTTTTAAACAAAGAATTTATCGAGACCGGACACCCCTCTGTGTGAGGGGTCATATACGTGGAGCAGACCGAGGATAGCTTAAACGCGCCAAAGGTCAACGGTCGCGACCACTTTCACGCTTAAAGGGGTGTTTTGGTGGCACCAAAAGGCACCATTTTCACGCCCGAAAACACATATACAATAAAAAAAAAAAGAACGTGCATCATCTGCAGCCCAATAGCAAAACATATACCGAGTCTCAAAAGAATCCGTCCACCCAAACGCGAGAAACAGCTGCGAGCATGAAAATCTAAATCTCTCACAAAACCCTTCCGCGGAAGGATGTCTCCTCCCCTGGAGGTAACAAAGCTTAATACATGTATGAATAACGTTATCCTACGTACAGAATATATGTATGCGGCAAACTACGTACTGAATATGTGGCAACAATAAAGGTTATCTATATTCTCTAACATGTAGTCTCTAAGATTTAAACATTCTTTAATGCATTTCCCTATTTGAACACTGTACTTAGAATGTAATTGAATTTATCTATAGGATCTAATGTATTGAAATCAGTTGAACAAGCGGAAAGAAAAGTGAACAGCAATAGGCGCTCACCATTATATAGTGTACAATGGTGGTCATTTTCAATCATATTCGTGCTGAGTTCCGTAGAGTCAGCGAGTGCATCTGACGAAGATTGACACGATCGACCAGAAATTTATGGTGAGTTCCTTTTTTGTGTTGGAACAACCTTGAACTTTACAACTATTGATTCTACAAACACATATGAGCTTACATTCGAATATGATTTTTTTCCTTTCTTTTTCTTAGGGGTTCCAGTCAAAAAAGTATCTCAAGAATTTAATCGTTATTGATAAGACTAAAACCATTTACTGCTATATACCTAAAACTGGATGCACAACAACAAAACTTGTCATGTACAATCTCCAACACGACAAGAATGAGAGGAATGAAGATCACAAACTTGGATGGATTCATCAGCAACGATTTAAGTTTCTGAACAGCTACAGTGAGAAAGATGTGCACAAGCGTTTGTCAACATACAACAAATTGATTGTTGTCCGCGACCCATTGGAAAGGTGTTTCTCCCCTTCTCTAAATTAATTTGTTTTTTCTTGTGCGTTATTTTTGTGTGCATAAACGACGTACTTTTTCCTCATAAAAGTAATTTTTAAATGCTTGTAGACAAAAAATACTTGATTGTAAATAACAATACATGACAAATATCTATCTAGCAGTTACGTTAAAACATCATACATTTTACATCATATATTAGATCTCGTAAGGTGTGTTATAGGTGTGTTGTCTTTAAACATATACCGACAATTTGTGTTTAACGTTGTAGGTTTTAGTATATTATGATATTTATCTTTTTCTTGTATGATACATATTCACAATAATACGCATGAAATTTTCATATCCTAATTTCTTTCAGGCTGGCGTCTGCCTGGTTTGACAAATTTGTGTACAACCCTCGCCGCTTCTCATATATAAAGAGGTTACAGCGAGAATTGTGGCAGTCTAACTTGACAACAACAAACAGGGTGGGAATCTTCGACTTTGAGAATTTGAGATTTGAGAAAAAACAAACAATATAGTATTTTACAAAAAACAAACAAAATAATATAGTATCTTACAAAGAAATCCAGAATGATGTACTAGGATATTACTGTGGATTTTGTCTAATTTGTAATTATAGAAAATAAAGTTAACGTAATATTTTAAAGCATGAAAATAATAATTTCATATTTCCATTTAAAAACGCGATTCAGTTATATCGTACATATGGAAAATAGTATGATTGTTTTATGCTGACTATTTAACATGTTCACATGTTAATGAACATGTTGTTACAACATGTGAACATGTTGTTTTCATCGTCTATGGATGGATAAATGAATGAACTGGTTTATCTATTATTTACAACACACATACCATTGCAGCCTTACATGGCTGAATGATACGCATGATACACAAATTCATCAAGAATGGTTCAGCAGCTTGACAATAAAAGGTGAAACACTATACTTGAACCTAGACGTCCTGCAGCTAAACTGCGTGAAGTTGTCCTTTAATCTCAGATCTCTTCCATGTAGGCTTCCACGTTTAGGAGGTAGCCAACAAGAGAGGTTGGGGGGGGGGATTTAGCTAGCTATAGACATTGCAAAGTTCACACAGACGTTACAGCATCTCTGGTACAAGGTGTAAGGGATAGTTGTTCTATAGTTCTGTCATTGCTAACATAGTTTCTATTTCTTTCAGTCTGTGTCCAGGAATGGACCAGGATCTGTGGAAGCTACAAGTGGCGACCTGCCACCAGTTACCTTCAGGGATTTTATTTGGAGTATTGTCAACAGGAGATACCTAAATATCCACTGGGAACCGTTCTTCAGTCGATGTGCTCCCTGCCAGGTAGTTTTACCTTCGCCAAGAATGTTATGTATTTTGGTCATGTTAGTGTGTGTGTATGTGTTTGTGTTTGTCTGTGTGCTTGTGTGTGTGTGTTTGTGTGTGTATGTTTGTTTGTGTGTGTGTGTGTGTGTGTGTATGTGTGTGTTTGTGTGTGTGTGTGTTTGTGTGTGTGCGTGCGTGCGTGTGCGTGTGTGTGTGTGCGTGTTTGTGTGTGTTTGCGTGTGTGCGTGCGCGAGTTTGTGTGTGTGTGTGCGTGTGTGTGTGTGCGTGCGTGCGTGCGTGTGTGTGCATGTGTGCGTTTGTGCGTGCGCGTCTAATACAGGGTCAGGAGAGAGGGCTTGGGTCAACCGCATTTGATTTGCAGATGATGGTTGTAGTATTTTAAAGAATCGTTCAGATGGTTCTTTTTAATAATGTTGACTATCCTTCAATCCGTTCTTGATTTATCCTTTAATGGTTCTTACACAAACGCCGCCGTAATGTTATGACAAGCTGCAAGAGGGCAAAACACACATTTGTTTTTCCAAGTGATATCTAGTTTGTGTATGTGTGTTGAACGACCCTTGTACTAGTATATCATAAACAAGAGACGTGGATAACCTCAAACATCATTAAGCACACATGACTAACCAACTACCTTTCTCTAGTCACCACCAGATTTCTTTTGCAGGCTGAGTAAATCGTTGAAATCGACATAAAAAGGGTATTAATTGGCGAGAAAAGGTAGCCGGCCATCGACGATCAATTTGGCCTGCAAGATCGTCGATGGCCGGCTATCTTCTCTCCCCAATTAATACCTTTTTTATTCCGATTTCTACGATTTACTCAGCCTGCAAAAAAATGAAGTCTGGTGGAGACTAACCTTTCTCGCTGTAGTACAATGTGTTCACAATAATACCTAACTGTACGTTTCTGCTCCATTGCAGGTTCAATACGACTTCATCGCTCATACGGACACGCTACCAGAAGACCTTCGTCTGTTCTTCCACAGGAGCGGTATCGTAGGGAAGGACGGCCTTCTCCCGAAAGAACGCCCCTCACGGGCTAAATCCCGCGTCGGTAACATTTTCGTAGAGGTCCCGACAGAGGACATACGTCGCATCGGAGAAATCTACAAACCGGATTTTGACATGTTTGGATACTCGTTTGACGACGACCTAGCGCTAATTGAAAACGAACGGCACGGCTGAATGAGTTAAGAAATCACTCCAGTTTCAAACTTTTACTCCTTGGCAAAGAGCGCTTTAAAAAAGATTGTTATCCTTCAAATATATTTTGAACAGAGGGAGATTATGAATATGAATAACACATGGAAATCTTCCAATTTAACATGCAAATATGGACCTAATTTGCATAATTAGTCTGAAAATTCTATGACTCCTTAGTGGTAAATGATGAGAAATTCATACTTGGGAGATGTGTGAGTTAATCAAAAGTCAACATCAGGATGCATATATTATGTTAATGTAGAGTAGAATTCGGCCAAATAGAGAGATAGCATGCCCAGGGAGTTGGTCTGCTCAAGGACGTTCTATCTTACCAACTCCCTTGGCATGCTATCTCTCTATTTGGCCAATTTCTACTCTTTCCAGTCGCCTCCCGAAGCCTGGTAGAGGCTAGGTGTGCGGGACCACGCCAACTCTGTCCCGAATGAAAATTTGCAGAATCGGGTCCAGTGGATATCAAAACGAGAAACACTTGACACAATATTTCGTTCAAAGCATTCAGGACTGTGTAAAGTAAAGGTGCATTGTCTTAAAACCAACTGTAATGCTGTCATCCCTGATGTCAACTCTAATGCTGAAATAAAAGCTTAAAGAAATACATTTTTGAGGTTGAAAGATATTAAATAACAATATTTGTAAGTCAAATAATGATATAATGATACTAGTCTAAACGTTTTAAAGCTTTAATAACGAATAAATGCAAATTATATTAGAATTAAGCTGGTAAGATCACACCGGTGTTCCATCTAACTTAATTACTTAATTGAGAAAATGCAAATTATGGTGATTCCGTATCAGGTGGTAAGGCCACGTTGCTGCTCAGAGCAAGATGGCAAGTCACTGTGCTAGGACAGGGAAGAACTCGGTGGTTAAAATCCGTCTTTTAAGACGAGCTACGCCCGTTTAAGGTGGTGAGTCGCATTTAACATTGTCCTTTGTGTTCTCGTGACTATTTGGGCCGAACTTGTTGCAATGAAATGAAGCTAAAACACAGAATGAAGGGAATATATTGCGCCGGTGACGATTCCCTGTGTTTAAACCTGCACTTAGTAAAGCCGCCGTTCGGGGGCGCCTTTTCATGTCCGCTAACATGAGAATACATTCATTAGATACGCTCGTTTTATTATCTTCGCCAAGAAGGTTACGTTTTCAGAGGCGTTCTTGTGTGTCTGGAAACACGATAACTCAAGAAGGCTTAAATGGATTGTCTTGATATTTGGTAGGTGGGTACATGTAGGTCTTGATGAGACTTCGAAATAATTAGATTTTGGGGCCCCTGGCGGCTTGATATGGTACTGCAGCAGAACGTCGGTTTTGATATCTCATGATCTAGACGTACTAGGGACACGAGATTTGAATGATAGGTAGGTCTTGTGCTGGGGGAGAAGTGACATAAGTTTGGGTCCCCTAGCGGATTGCTCTGGAACTGCAGGGGCATTTGTTGAAAAGTACTTTAAGGAGGATAACTCAATAACCCGTTCAGGAATCGTCATGATTATTTGTCTGTAGGTAGCTTAAGTGATGGATGACATAATCAAATGACAAATATGCAAATAAGAAATCTAATTTCCGTAATTACTGTTAATAATAAATAAATCTACCATTCAATCTGCCTGATCCAAGTAGATGCAAAGGGAGGTAGTTAGCAATGCTGGTCATCAAAGCAGTAAAACTTGAATTATCAAAGAGGGTACCCTGGTCATCATTTCATTTTTATTTTGCATGCAAAATTGCATGCCATATCAGTCATACCACAGTGCAAGAAATACAATACAGCTCACTATCCACTTCAGATGGCATGTATTGTGCTCTCATTGTGCTCTGCATGTGTTCACAACACAGTCCTGTATGCAATACACTTCACAAGACATGTACTTGCATCATAAGTTATATAGATGTACCAGTACTGATCTTTTCAACACTATTAGGAAGTGTGGTACACAATATTTGTGAAAATGGCTTAATCTGACATGCTGTTCTACAGCAAAATGTCCATACAAATATATATTACTTTGTATAAAATTTTGTCCACTTTTGACAATGATTCGCTCAGAGCTGTTTGATTTCATAACTGTTACAATATCTTTTGATAAATATAGGCTCTATCTCATTGTTATTAATAGAGAATGTCAATGTTGGATATTCAGTGGCGCCAGCATGAGGTGAAAGCCCTGCGGCAACGTGAGAAGAAAGCAACCAGACGTCCCCGCTTCCTGACAGGGCGGACCTGCTGCTGAGTGTCGCCATTCTCCTGTGTCTCCTCCTCATCTTCTCTTGACTCCTCATCTTCACTAGTGTCCTCATCACTAGACTCCTCATCACTAGACTCCTCATCACTAGACTCCTCATCACTAGACTCCTCATCATCACTAGTTTCCTCATCACTAGTGTCCTCATCACTAGACTCCTCCTCATCACTAGTTTCCTCATCACTGGACTCCTCCTCATCAGTAGGTACTGGCTCACTGATCAGGCTTTGCAGTGTGGTCGGTGTGGTCATTTCAAAGTCCAGTGGATCGATCCTGATAACGGGATCCACTGATGTGTTCAGGACATCCAACAGTTCTGAGTCCGTCAGGCCACGTACAGACAGGCCGTCGATAGCGATCAGTCGTCCTACTGGTAGGGTTGCTTGTTTCTCGGCTGCTCCAGTGCGGCAGTACAGCCTGTGCAACTCCTCACCATCACCAAACAGCTGGTCCAGGATCACATCATCATCAGCCAGAAAGCGGAACCAGTCTCCCAGGCGGTCTCTGTACAGCACAAAACCCTCACATCTGGCAGACTCTGGTAGAGGGACAGGATCAGAGGTCTCGCCTGTGTCGCCTCCATGGTGAAGCCTGGGTGGTTTTGGAGGGGGTGTACCAGTAACCACACCGGCAGCTGAGGGGGTGGAGGTGGGCTGTTCTGTCAGCTGCTCCAACTCTGCCTTGTCCTTGTTTTTCCGGACAGAAGGTCGGAGGCTGGGAAAGAAAGATATGGAGAGGACTACGTCGTTAAAATTTTTAACCACTGAATGAAATGAGATGATCGAAAAGTCATTTGTCATTTAGGATCATTTAGACTACAAGAAGGAATGAATCAAGTTGAGCTGATGCTGTAACTAGTGTAAGTACCTGATCAGAACTCTGTCAGCATCTGGCAGTGCATGTGTGGGGATCCCGCTGCTGACACCATGTGACTGACTGGCCACCTGGGCCTCATGGTCATATCCCTGGTCCAGTTTGCTCACGTTAGCTGATCTGTAGATGAAACATATACAAGGTCAGGTTTTTAGCAACAACATAACTGTGCAGATGGAGAGTACTGTGTGAACTCATGGTATCTGCAACTATCAATTGCCCAACTGCACTTGAAGCCCATTTTGTGACCCATAACACTACTGGTATGTCACAGTTCCCTTCCCACATACAAGTGTTCCTACCATAGAAAACAACAGAGCTTACACTGGCTTCTATCTCAGTCTGTAGATGGGATCCCCCCGATAGTGTTCTAACTGTTCTGAACATTGTTAGTTAAACCCAACTAAACAGTTCTTACTCGCTAAACGAGCTGGCCGCATCACCCTCTCCCCCGGGCTATGTAGGAGAAGGAACACAAAGCAATAAGAACAACAAACAAACAAACAAAACAGAGAAAAGCAACACAGACAAAGGGTAAACATATGCCTTAGGATAGTTTCATAAAATGAGCACTAAATATGAAGAAGTACATGACGTGTGGTAGGAGAATATGTTAGCAAGGCATGGACTGACTCTATTGATAACTTATTTATTGTAAAGAAGAAATTTTGACAAGGGGGGAGGAGGATTTCAAACCCCTCAAAACACAGAATGGCTTGGCAATAACTGGCATAACATACGACTTCTGACTGGCCATAAATGTTGTAGAAATGATGACGTACCTTCAACATCCCCTCATCACTCTCATGGGTCAGTTTTCTCAGGGTGGACTGGTCACCACCTCCAGTCTGCAGTGAGTATAACTGGACAACAAAACAAAATGAACTCCACATTTATTATGTTTACCAAAGGAAAACGTATTGTTTTTGCTATGTTTCTAATTTTCCTCCAGTGACCTTGGGCCTGAATGAACCATGGTAACTGGTGTTGGGTTACATTATGTTGCAATTTTATAGTTGGAGGATTTTATACCCAAGGTAAACGTTATGCATTTGATCTGCGCATATGTTACTTTTCTAGTTTAACATAATTGTTATGTCTATGGAAAATATGAGAGAATAGCCTTCCCTGGTCTAGTTAAGCCATCATACTGAATGTTTGTACACTTTTTACTTCCTACCTCGGAATGAAGTTTGATCTGAAAAACATGGCTTCCGCCAGTATTATTGTTCAGCGGACAAGGTTGAACAATCTCCGTGTATCAGCTATTAATGTAGGACTTACCTCTACCTGACTCAAATTGTTCTCGGCCATCATCAGGGAAGACATCGTGTCGTAGGGGTTTTCTTCGGTAATTCGAAGTGCACTCGCTCTCAACAGAACACCTACAGAGGTCATCAAATAAATCCACAAAAAGCAAGTGATGTTCTGGATTCCACTGGCGATAAGACGTCTACATACGCTAAAACTGTCTACAAGATCTCAGAAATACCAAGAAAGACTTAACTTTCTTCCTGTAAGTGTAAAATGTCCTCACAAGCGATAACGACCTTGGGAATATTACGTGACCTTGCGGTAGCCAGATTGTTGAGAACCCTACGAACTTTTTGTGCTTCTTTTCGACAGATATTTTGACATTTGTGCGGTCTACCAGCCTTAACGACGGGACGTGAGTAGCGCTCGCACGTAATACATGACAGAGATTTGCGACTTTTCTAGGATTTTTCTCAGTATTTTTCACCTAAAACAGGAGAGAGAAAACTTCCCCACCTGGTTCGTGAGCACGAAACTTGTCGAATGTGTAGAATTCGAACCCGCGTCCATGGCAACACGAGTAAACATGGCGTTCGAACGCATGGGAGGAATGAACCTGTGATTTGCGTTCTGAAAATGGAAACATCCGTCAAAAATCGTGTCGTACAGTAGACTTTTAGGAAAATATTCTTCCTTTTTGGGTAGAATATTCAATATCAATAGGATATTATGATTAGAATGGTTCTTTAAAATATGATTGAGCGTTTACTTTACATTTAGTTGTGACGTGTTATTCATCATCATTCCTGTCCACAGTAGCAATCGGGTCGCGGCTGTGACAGAACTTGATTGTGTACTGTTGTGTGGTACAAAATGAGTTACAATGCTGATGTACTTGACGCAAATGTAGAAAACGCAGCACTAATAGAAACTACCCTTTCTCTGTTCTTAGGAGTTTGGTAGCCTTCTTTGCACCTTCCCCAGTTCCCGCTGGTCCAGCCGGAAATAAGGCCCCATATGACATTTGCATATTCCAGATGAGGTCGAACCAACTGTCCTTGTATATCAAGTTGTGAAAGCTCTCTTAACTACAGTACCCCCCCCCCCACGTATCCGGTTGGCTTTCCTAGATCCTGGATACCTTCTGCCACAGCAAGTGTTTATACATCCCCGAAGTTGTGGATGCCCCCCTCCCCCATTTGTTAATTATAATCGTGGCCCTCTCCTTGGTGCTGAACTCACCATCAGTTCCATGTATTGCTGCAGTATTTGCGTGAAAGTTGAGTTTGTTGTCCATCAAGACCCCCATATGTTTTTCTTCATCTGTTTCCTGAATTTTTTTACTGTTTTCACGACCCAAAGCAGGTTTAAGAACTTAAACAAATTATGTGAATGTTGCAATGCATGATGCTCTGTAAGTAATTGTTAGACACATGTAACGTTACTAGTATGTGGCCTGTGATTTTCTGAATGTGTATTTCTTTCACACCCCAGGCTTGAGATGCTGCTAATGTATAGCTGACATTGTGGGACCTGTCTCCTGTGTGTGCTGTGGGACCTGTCAGCTATCCTGTGTTCCTGTCTATATTATGGAATTCCAGGAAGATGTGCCTGTGTTTCTGAGGGACCTGTTACGTGTCACCTATCTACAAAAGAAGAGAACATTGGACTCGACTGTGAGTTGGCTTTTATTCATAGACTTTTTCAAAAATGGGTCTGCATGCCGCAATGCGTAACCAGCCATTTTAGGTTTGCATAATGGAAAGTCGTGTCGATCTATTCACTGTTAAACTGTCATCTGTATGATAAAACGTCCAGCCAGTACAAGTAAACTGTAATACGTGGTCGTTGCTTTGCAGCATTCTGCACCTTGCTATTTCAACTTTGCATAATTTGAAGTTGCACAACTCGATTTAATATCAAATGTAATCTACGTGAAACCAACCTGAACAAATGTAAATCGTGGTCACTGCCTTACAAAATTTAGCATGAAAAGCGCGATTGGTACGTCCCATGCAGGCCCTAAAAATGACAATAAAAGATGTTGGGAAAGGGCATGTTTGCGATCCTCTGAATTTTTTATTCTATTAACGTTATATATATAGCACCATTGTTGAAACTCAGCTAGGCCCTCCCAGCTATTTGTTGTCATTTCTGAAAGAGTTCACATTCATAACTAATATTTAGTTTTAGGTTGTGACTAATAATAATCTTTTATTGTGAATATGATGGAAAACAGTACATTTTCCTATTTAGGAAAGCACTTGTAATGTTGCCTGTTGTTTCATTCTGTATAGCAATGGGATATATTTCCAACAGCATTTGTGATCGAACTGTTTTCCCTGGTATCCTCTTCATAATAATCAACATCCACCCTTTTAAAAACCATTTCTATTACCTATTACGTAGTATAATAACGAAAATGTGAAGAAAAGAAAACCTACATGGCGATATGAAATAAGTAACAATAAAGTAACAATGTTTAGGCAAATAAAAGCATTCAAAATGGAAAAATAAAGAGACATTTCATTACAATCATGAATTCTAGGTGTTAATGTTTACTGGTGAAGATGTACAACATGTAAATGCACAGTCAAGATTTGGCATTTGTTGGTATCTCACAAAATTGTTTTCTGATTTCTAAAATAATACTATGATTTGGAACATACGACAGTACAAAATGTAAACTTAGCAAGGAAAGTCCAGAATATGAAATGTTCAAAACAACGGCAAAACTGTGTCATGATTTGGCCTTTTTAAAATCCTTTCTGAAAAAGAAATTGTCCTTTTTGTGAAGAAATGACAATACTAGTATACATGGTGAAGCAATCATTAATCTAAAAGAAAAAAAATTAAAATTAAACATTCAAAGATGAATAATGGAATTTTTAAGCACTCAAACACAGTCAAATATGGTAATACAAAATTAGGTGACACATTGAAAGAGGCATTTTTGTTATGATTGGAGGAAAAAGAATCTATCTTTGATAAATCATAATATCCACTTCTAGTCCAGAGTTTTCTAAATCTCTAAAATATATTATGAACATTGTGATTTTATGCACCTTGCTATATTTTCCTACTGAAATGTGCTTGGAATTATGATTTTGCAAAAAGCACACAAAAAGCATACAAATCTAGACTCTGATTTACCTAATATTCTATGTTTGTCTCTGGTTGTCAAGTAACAAATTAAATAACAAGCAGGATTATTCATATCAACAAAAATACAGTATATTATATATACAGAAATGCATTATAGGTGTTTCACAAACTTTTCTTTTTAAACAATAATAGAGTGGATTTCTGGGAAAGAATTTTGGTCACATAATGATTGTTAGGAATATGTCTTTTTTCTTTACAGAAAATGGAAAAGGCAATGTTGTGCTTTCTTTCTGTAGAGTGAAATGTACTACAGGTAAGCTGTGTGTGATGTTTCAAAGGGAGGAATCAGCAAAACGAATTTTAAATGTCTACTAATTTTTTTGCAAGGATTATAATTACTCTTTTATATAATTACTTTTAATGCAGTCAAGTCACAGATAGTGTAGTTACTAGAGCTGTGTACCTAAACAAATTTTAGGTACAGGTACAGGTACACAGGTTTAGGTACAGGTCCGGACCTGAACCTGTACCTGAACAATTCGACCAATTTATATGCTCTTCTGAACTCCTTCAATAACAAAAAAACATAAATAAACTTGATAGTTAAGGTTTATTCTTTGTTTATGGCGAATGCTCAGATAAAATATAGGCAAAACTAAGATGTTTTTGTTTTCATGAATACACTGTCCTTACACAGGCACCCATTGTTAACCAGCTATTTAAACATTTGAGGTCACAAATAGGCATAAAATTGGTGTGAAATTGTTTAGGTACAGTACCGGTACTGAGGGATTAGGTATTTTGGACCTGTACCTAATCAATTTTTCCGGTACAGTATCGGTACTGCGTACCGGTACACAGCTCTAGTAGTTACTACTACTATTATAATTACTCTTTTATATAATTACTTTTAATGCAGTCAAGTCACAGATAGTGCAGGTAGAAGGAGGTTAAAAATCAATAGATAAAAGTCCAGTGTCCAGCAAATATAGCCTTCACAGTGGGGCAGGATTTCTTTCAAGGTCCCGGGGGTCTCTGCAAAAGATAGATATTAATTCGAGGATCATATAGTCTCAATTGATTTTCTAAATTAAAAGAGGTGTGTCTTTTCAGTGAATGACCACAAATGACCACTCTGGGGCCGTCCTCGTCGCACGAATCTGAATTTATAGCTTTTGTCATGTCCAGGTTGTGCTCCCATTTATCAATCCTGAGTTTAAAGTGAATTCATTGATCCGAAGTTTTATAAATCTAAGTTGACAGTTTTGACTTCCGTCTTTTCAGCAAATGACCACTTAACGCCCTGCAAAATATTGGCCCTTGCGCAACTAAGCTAAAAATCCTGACCACCACAAAGAATTTAACAAATAGGTGTCTTCTTAATTCTTGCAAAGTTTCTGTGCTGTACACACTTTTAAACTGTACCGTTTTTGCCAAAAAAAGTACCTCAAAAGTGTGTATAGCACGGAAACTTTGTGAGAATTCAGGAGACACCTATTGGTTAAATTCTTTGTGGTGGTCAGGATTTTTAGCTCAGTTGCGCAAGGGCCAATATTTTGCAGGGTGTTAAGTGGTCATTCGCTTAAAAGATGGAAGTAAAACTGTCAAGTTCAATTTATAAAACTTCAGATCGATGAATTCATTTCAAACTGAGGATATAATAAATGGAAGCACAATCTGGACATGGCCACAGCAAAAAAATCTGATTCGTGCGACAGGGACGGCCCCAGAATGGTCATTAGCTAAAAAGACACCCCCTCAAAGTCATGCAGCGTGCAAAATACCTTGTTGCCCAGTTGCCCCGGGCAACCAAATTTTACTTGGGGCAACCTATTTTTGAACCTAGGTAGCCCAGTGTGCTACCTGAATTTAAAGAATGCCCCCCCCCCAAATAATGCCCACTTGGCTTGCACCAATGTATCTGACAGATGCTTTTTAATTTTAGGTATTAATGGCTAGTACTAGTGTCAGTTAACTAAAAGCTGTTAGAGATATTGTCAAAGGCTTATGTACAATGTATGTAACATTACTTTAGGCCACACCAATTTAATTTCTTGGTTATCGGATTCGCCCGCTTCATTTTTTCTGATTTGCAAAAAAAAAAAAAAAATCAGAATCAACTGCAAAATGCTCATATTTTGCCCTGAACGGTTGAAAACAGTCCTTTTCTTTCTAGTTGTTACAGTTATTCCTTCTTTCAATGCAATGGTATCATTGAAAGTTCAAAATTCATTGTTTAAATTTTGAACCAGCCTGGTGTGTTGACTTCATGGCTCCTATCTTACCATTTTGGGCAATAATAGGATGCCTAGGACTGTTTTCATTTTAATTTTTTTTTCGCCCGCCCACTGCATTATTTTTGTAGAAAAATCCGTTAACCAAGAAATTAAATTGGTGTGGCCTTAAGGAAAGTTGTAACTTATAGCTATAGGTGGGGCAACCTAAAATTCTGATGGGCAACCTGGTTCAAAAAATTTTGTATACTGTCATTTCACAGGTAAAAACAAAGATTATGTAGATAGACTGTGAGAGGTTGAGTTGACACATTATGTAAAAGCTTTC